CCTAAAATCTCAAACAGATTATGCCATCCGATTTCTACACTTCCGACTTAAAGTTCTATATATGTTTTCATCGTGCAAAGATCTTCCGATAGCAGTTATATATAATTTTCTATATACGGATATAGTCACATTTTTTGTAAAAAAAGTTTGTTGCTGTAGTACACACCCTAGAACGATGAAATCCACAAAACAAATTATGCCATCCGATTTGTATATTTCCAACTTAAAGTTCTATATAGGTTTTTATCGTGCACAAGATCGTCCGATAGCAGTTATATATAATTTTCTATATACTTCCATAATAAAATATTTTGTAAAAAAAAAGTTTGTTGTAGTACACACCCTAGCACGATGAAATCCGGAAAAAAATATATGCCATCCGATTTCTACACTTCCAACTTAAAGTTATATATAATTTTCTATATATTTCCATAATAAAACTATGTAAAAAAAGTTTGTTGTTGTAGTACACACCCTAGAACGATGAAATCCGGAAAAAAATGTATGCCATCCGATTTCTACACTTCCAACTTAAAGTTCTATATAGGCTTTTATCGTGCACAAGATCGTCCGATAGCAGTTATATATCATTTTATATATACTTCCATAATAACATTTTTTGTAAAAAAAAGTTTGTTGTTGTAGAACATACCCTAGAACGATGAAATCCGGAAAAAATGTATACCATCCGATTTCTACACTTCCAACTTAAAGTTCTATATAGGTTTTTATCGTGCACAAGATCGTCCGATAGCAGTTATATATCATTTTATATATACGGCCATAGTAACATTTTTTGTAAAAAAAAAGTTTGTTGTTGTAGTACACACCCTAGAACGATGAAATCCGGAAAAAAATGTATGCCATCCGATTTCCACACTTCCAACTTAAAGTTCTATATGGGTTTTTATCGTGCACAAGATCGTCCGATAGCAGTTATATATCATTTTATATATACGGCCATATTAACATTTTTTGTAAAAAAAAGTTTGTTGTTGCAGTACAAACCCTAGAACGATGAAATCTGGAAAAAAAATTTTTTCATCCGATTTCTACACTTCCAACTTAAAGTTCTATGTAGGTTTTTATCGTGCACAAGATCGTCCGATAGCAGATATATATCAATTTATATATACTTCCATAATAACATTTTTTGTAAAAAAAAAGTTTGTTGTTGTAGTACACACCCTAGAACGATGAAATCCGGAAAAAAATGTATGCCATCCGATTTCTACACTTCCAACTTAAAGTTCTATATAGGTCTTTATCGTACACAAGATCGTCCGATAGCAGTTATATATCAATTTATATATACTTCCATAATAACATTTTTTGTAAAAAAAAAAGTTTGTTGTTGAAGTACACACCCTAGAACGATGAAATCCGGAAAAAAAATTTTGTCATCTGATTTCTACACTTCCAACTTAAAGTTCTATGTAGGTTTTTATCGTGCACAAGATCGTCCGATAGCAGTTATATATCAATTTATATATACTTCCATAATAACATTTTTTGTAAAAAAAAAGTTTGTTGTTGTAGTACACACCCTAGAACGATGAAATCTGGAAAAAAATGTATGTCATCCGATTTCTACACTTCCAACTTAAAGTTCTATATAGGTTTTTATCGTGCACAAGATCGTCCGATAGCAGTTATATAGCAATTTATACATATATACTTCCATAATAACATTTTTTGTAAAAAAAAGTTTGTTGTTGTAGTACACACCCTAGAACGATGAAATCCGGAAAAAAATGTATGCCATCCGATTTCTACACTTCCAACTTAAAGTTCTATATAGGTTTTTATCGTGCACAAGATCGTCCGATAGCAGTTATATAGCAATTTATATATACTTCCATAATAACATTTTTTGTAAAAAAAAAAGTTTGTTGTTGTAGTACACACCCTAGAACGATGAAATCTGGAAAAAAATGTATGTCATCCGATTTCTACACTTCCAACTTAAAGTTCTATATAGGTTTTTATCGTGCACAAGATCGTCCGATAGCAGTTATATAGCAATTTATATATACTTCCATAATAACATTTTTTGTAAAAAAAAGTTTGTTGTTGTAGTACACACCCTAGAACGATGAAATCCGGAAAAAGATGTGTGCCATCCGATTTCTACACTTCCAACTTAAAGTTCTATATAGGTTTTTATCGTGCACAAGATCGTACGATAGCACTTGTATATCATTTTATATATACGGCCATAATAACATTTTTTGTAAAAAAAAGTTTGTTGTTGTAGTACACACCCTAGAACGATGAAATCCGGAAAAAAATGTATGCCATCCGATTTCTACACTTCCAACTTAAAGTTCTATATAGGTTTTTATCGTGCACAAGATCGTCCGATAGCAGTTATATATCAATTTATATATACGGCCATAATAAAATTTTTTGTAAAAAAAAAAGTTTGTTGTTGTAGTACACACCCTAGAACGATGAAAACCGGAAAAAAGTGTATGTCATCCGATTTCTACACTTCCAACTTAAAGTTCTATATAGGTTTTTATCATGCACAAGATCGTCCGATAGCAGTTATATATCAATATATATATATACTTCCATAATAACATTTTTTGTAAAAAAAAAGTTTGTTGTTGTAGTACACACCCTAGAACGATGAAATCTGAAAAAAATGTATGTCATCCGATTTCTACACTTCCAACTTAAAGTTCTATATAGGTTTTTATCGTGCACAAGATCGTCCGATAGCACTTATATATCATTTTATATATACGGCCATAAAAACATTCTTTGTAAAAAAAAAGTTTGTTGTTGTAGTACACACCCTAGAACGATGAAATCCGGAAAAAAATGTATGTCATCCGATTTCTACACTTCCAACTTAAAGTTCTATATAGGTTTTTATTGTGCACAAGATCGTCCGATAGCAGTTATATATCATTTTATATATACGGCTATAGTAACATTTTTTGTAAAAAAAAAGTTTGTTGTTGTAGTACACACCCTAGAACGATGAAATCCGGAAAAAAATGTATGCCATCCGATTTCTACTCTTCCAACTTAAAGTTCTATATAGGTTTTTATTGTGCACAAGATCGTCCGATAGCAGTTATATATCATTTTATATATACGGCTATAGTAACATTTTTTGTAAAAAAAAAGTTTGTTGTTGTAGTACACACCTTAGAACGATGAAATCCGGAAAAAAATGTATGCCATCCGATTTCTACACTTCCAACTTAAAGTTCTATATAGGTTTTTATCGTGCATAAGATCGTCCGATAGCACTTATATATCATTTTATATATACGGCCATAATAACATTTTTTGTAAAAAAAAAGTTTGTTGTTGTAGTACACACCCTAGAACGATGAAATCCGGAAAAATATGTAAGCCATCCGATTTCTACACTTCCAACTTAAAGTTCTATATAGGTTTCTATCGTGCACAAGATCGTCCGATAGCAGTTATATATCATTTTATATATACGGCTATAGTAACATTTTTTGTAAAAAAAAAAGTTTGTTGTTGTAGTACACACCCTAGAACGATGAAATCCGGAAAAAATGTATGCCATCCGATTTCTACACTTCCAACTTAAAGTTCTATATAGGTTTTTATCGTGCACAAGATCGTCCGATAGCACTTATATATCATTTTATATATACGGCTATAGTAAAATTTTTTGTAAAAAAAAAAGTTTGTTGTTGTAGTACACACCCTAGAACGATGAAATCCGGAAAAAAATGTATGCCATCCGATTTCTACACTTCCAACTTAAAGTTCTATATAGGTTTTTATCGTGCACAAGATCGTCCGATAGCACTTATATATAATTTTATATATACGGCCATAATAACATTTTTTGTAAAAAAAAAGTTTATTGTTGTAGTACACACCTTAGAACGATGAAATCCGGAAAAAAATGTATGCCATCCGATTTCTACACTTCCAACTTAAAGTTCTATATAGGTTCTTATCGTGCACAAGATCGTCCGATAGCAGTTATATATCATTTTATATATACGGCTATAGTAACATTTTTTGTAAAAAAAAAGTTTGTTGTTGTAGTACACACCCTACAACGATGAAATCCGGAAAAAAATGTATGCCATCCGATTTCTACACTTCCAACTTAAAGTTCTATATAGGTTTTTATCGTGCACAAGATCGTCCGATAGCAGTTATATATCATTTTATATATACGGCTATAGTAACATTTTTTGTAAAAAAAAAAGTTTGTTGTTGTAGTACACACCCTAGAACGATGAAATCCGGAAAAAAATGTATGCCATCCGATTTCTACACTTCCAACTTAAAGTTCTATATAGGTTTTTATCGTGCACAAGATCGTCCGATAGCACTTATATATCATTTTATATATACGTCTATAGTAACATTTTTTGTAAAAAAAAGTTTGTTGTTGTAGTACACACCCTAGAACGATGAAATCCGGAAAAAAATGTATGCCATCCGTCTTAAAGTTCTATATAGGTTTTTATCGTGCACAAGATCGTCCGATAGCAGTTATATATCATTTTATATATATGACCATAGTAACATTTTTTGAATGTTTTTTATTAAAAGGCAAAATCCCAAATATATTTATATTTTATCAGATTTGTTCCTTTCCACATTTATACACATATTTTAATTGATCAAAAATATTTTTTTTAATGTAAATCATGAAAATCAATTTTTTTGAATTTTTTCCACGTGCATAAACACATATTGAAAATGTAAATAATGAAAACGAGTTTTTCGTCTTTTCCACGTGCAGAAACACATATTTGTAAACAAAAATAACTCACCACACCAAAAAAAATGTTTATTTTGTTAAAACAGCTGTTACGGTTTGTTTTATTTTTCGTCGGGTTGTTTTCTTTATGTGCGTCTAAAACACGATACATGTTGTTTTTGTATTGTTGTAGTGATGTAGTCTCCTTTCTAAGTATGCCCTGGCCTTGCTTATAATTAATATAACTTGACCACCACCTTATCTGAATTCACCTTGATACACACTTATACCACCAATTACAGAAACTTTCCTCACAACAAATAAAAACAGCTGTTGGAATTGTGGGTTCTTAAGTAATAAGTTTTGTTCAGGACGATAACAATTATTGGACCTTAAATCGTTATTTATTTTCATCTCAAGCCTAATATATAAAATTATTTGAAAAATTATGAGTAAATGTTGTAATAAAAACATTTTTAATGTAAGATAATGTAGTTTCTTAGTATACCAAAATTCTAATATAATGTTTATTGTTGCAGTATGTAAGAAAGTATTCTTCCAAATCAGAACAGAAATTGAAAAGTTTTCACGACAAACCAGACCCTCATTTAATTAAATATGACTACATAGGACCTCCAGATAAGAAATCAAATTTACGACCCTATGTTCGCTGCATCGCAAAACATGAAAGTTTCCTCGATATGCAGCTACGAGAAAAACGAATTGAAGTAGAAGAATGGAATCAATCGTTTTGGTCAAATCACAATAAACGCTTTTATGAGGTAAGAATAACGTGAACAGCGTCCATAAATCCATTCGAATTTTGTTGCTATTTGTGGTTTTATGTTGCTTCTCTAGCAGAAAATAGAATAGGGAAGAGTTATTTTGTCGTGAAATTTGTATACCTACTGCCGTCAACAATTTTGTCCATTTAGGACCATAAAAGTAAACAGATTCATTGATATTGACTGTCAACTTATGCTCATTATGTTTTTTGATGTGTGTGCTCGTAAATGAAATAAATTAATTTATGTCTTGGATGTACAAAACAAATTATTCATATATGTACAAATTATTCATATTATGCATATATGTACATACATACATATGTATTTTTTGTGCTCTTTGCAACAGAAAAATGTTTATACGTTTTTTAAAATAATAGATCAGTATTCTTAGGCCTAACAATATAAAAATCTTATAACTAAAAACTAAATGTATCTCCTCTCAGCTGAGAAAAGCAATGGACAAGTTCCCTTTTTTAAAAAGCGAACGGCAAACTAAAAGTTCGATTTTATTGATGATTTTGATTGAATGCATCAAAACAAATGTCTACAAAAAATTGGATCCCTCCAATCATTAACAAAAAACAAAAGCTCCTTTTTACAAAAACATAAAATATTAAAGGCAATTTTATATACAAAATTATCAACTATCATAAATTACAGGATTCACGGTAACACAATTTGTTTATTAAATATAAATAAAACGACATCTTATTCACATCTAAAAATGTGACAACAGATTTTTCCCTTTTTGTTTGTTTTTTAAGTTAGAGCCAATCTTTAGGTGAAAGATTAGCGATTAAATTAAAATTAATCCTCGAAAGATGTTTTTGAGTACTCAATTAGTTAATTTTGTTTGCAAGTTTAAGCGCCTAATTGAGATGGTTTAATCTTAAGCACGAAATGCAAAAGTGTAAACAGCTGATGCAAAAAAATTAATAAAATTTGTATAAATATAAACATTAAAATATTCTATTTATTGATTAGTATCAATTATGGACACTTCAAAATACATTTTTTTGTTTTTAATTTAAGTTTTCATTAATTTTCATATTAAATTTACAATTTTCTTCTTCTTTTTTTATAAAATATTCATTGTTTTGATAACAAACAGTGACATTTTCTGTTGTTTTGTATAGCAACACTGCGAAGTTTAATATTGTACTCAAAAACATCAAATGGTATTAACATTGGATTAAATTTATTTTTAGATTAACTAACCTAATTATTAATTGCCATTTGATTGCCAACTCAAAACCCCGGTCTTAGTATCCAAACCTAAGATTTATTTGGCCTGTAATTAAAATTATACAACGCCATCACCAATTTTAGCCAAAAAAAACTAGCTCATATGTTCTAATATCATGATGAGCAAATGAGATGATGATGAGTCCCTTTACTCATAGTGAAGGATCATATACATATAAATACAAATCAAAATATATACTTCGTATATATAAGATTATACATATGTATATAACTTCTGTAAAAAACCTCATTAAAGTGCCAAATCTATGGATTTTAGAAACTCAATGATATGAGTGATTTTATCCATCCCCCTCGCTTTCAATGAATTCATAAAGTTGGTTGTGTCTACTAATTGAAGGAAAATTGCTCCGTTGATTCTCATATTTATGACATTTAAAAATGATGTGAGCTCAATCCTCAGTACAATTGCAACTAGTACAAATATCAGAAACTGAGACACCCATTCTATTTTTTTCCCTTTTATAAACCAACAATTTTCTTACAAATAAAAGCCTAATTAAAAGTGGGGAAAGGAATGTAGAAATTATTACAAAATAATAAAATATTTGAAGTACCTAGATCAAATTTTGGTGAAAACCAATGAGATTTACATTAGCGTGTCATTGAAAGAACGTGGTTATTAACATACATATCGGATTTTTACTGCATATACCCAGCAAAAAAAGACATGCAAAAAAGTAGTAAATGCATGGGTTCAACTGATAATAAACTGGTTCATGTTTTTAACATTAGCGAACATGGGTTCGTATTTGGAAAAATAGTTCGGCATTAAAATGAGGGCTTACAACCAAAGAACATTCTTAAGCGAATTTTCATTGGTGCACTCCCCCCTGGGCATGTGTCCATGATGATGGATCCCATCATGGTGTATTGCAATCCCGGGGTATAGAGCACCTCTATACCCCGATGTAAGGTAAAGTCAATATTTCGGGATAAGTTCGGTGCTGTTGCCGAGACAACAGATACCACAGAGGAGTGACTGTGGGACTAATCGTTGGAAATGAGTTGGTGTTAATTGTATATGGTACGGGATGAATGTGGGGTATGCGGGCCTCACCCACCCGTTTACCTAGAATAATCGTGTGGTATGTTTTTCTCTTATGAGGATGAATGAGAAGTGTGCTGGGTTGAATGATGATAGATGAAAGGTATCATATACAAATGATACCATTGAATTTTCCTTCCTTGTCCAGATATGTTCAGAGTAAACTCTATTCATATCAGGATTACCACAGTGTGTCACTGTGAGTAAGAACAAAGTCTCGGCTTAATTGATGGATTAGTACTTCGGTCTAACGGTTACGTCTCTAGGTGCTGTTGCCGAATCAACAGAGGCCATTCCATCTGCGTGGTTGTAAACGGAAGTGATGTTTTACATCTCAGAAGTTAAACAACGGGGCAGCAATGGTCAGAGATTATATAGCTCAAGTACTCGAGCAAAGTGCTTGTACGTGGACTGGCTTAGCCATGTACAAAAATTGCTACCTGATTTCTTCATTGAACATTTGAGTCGTCACAAAGCTCACCCAGTGGTTGAAAAAGTCCACCGTGAGATAGGCCAACACGGCAGGTACTCACGTAAAGCACTTCGACATTTCTTTCATTGGTGCACTATATATGTATATTTTAAAATGCATTATTAAAGGTATTACGAATTATACAATATTATACTATAGGATATATCCCAGCAAAAAATAATTGATGTCATACTTTACAAACAACCCAGCAAAAAAAGTGTGGAAAAAAATGTAGAATTTTCATCACAACCCAGCAAAAAAAGTGAGGAAAAAGAAGTAGAATTTGGTGAAAAACCTATGAATTTTACATTAGCGTGTCATTGGAGGGATGTTGTTCATTTTTGACAACATTGAACTACATCTAATCTTATTCATAGATGCAGTAAAAATCCGATATTTGGATGTCAAAAATAAACCACATTCTTTCAATGACACCCCAGCAAAAAAAGTGTGGAAAAAGATGTAGAATTTTCATCACAACTAGTAACCCGAAGTGCTTCAAATTCAGGTGAAAAACCTATGAATTTTACATTAGCGTGTCATTGGAGGGATGTTGTTCATTTTTGACAACTTTGAACTACATCTAATCTTATCTTTAGAAGCTGTAAAAATCCGATATTTGTATGTCAAAAATAAACCACATTCTTTCAATGAAACGCTTATGTAAATTTCATTGGTTTTTCATCAAAATTTGAAGTACTTCGAATATGTTGTTTCCCAGCAAAAAAAGTGTGGAAAAAGATGTAGAATTTTCATCACAACTAGTAACCCGAAGTGCTTCAAATTCGGGTGTAAAACCTATGAATTTTACATTAGCGTGTCATTGGAGGGATGTTGTTCATTTTTGGCAGCTTTGAACTACATCTGATCTTATTTTTAGAAGCAGTAAAAATCCGATATTTGGGTGTCAAAAATAAAACACATTCTCTTAATGACACGCTTATGTAAATTTCACTACTCTTTCACCAAATCTTGATGTACTTCAAATATGTTATTTGTAATGATTTTTCCACATCTCTTTCCTCACTTTTAACTGGGGTTTCATTTGTAAGGAAATATTTGGTTTATAAAAGTGAAAAATATGTAATCGCATTTTAAGATGTGATTAAGATGTAGTTTGTAAAGTATGACATCAATTATTTTTTGCTGGGATATTTTATAAAAAAGAAGAAGACAATTGTAAATTTAATATGAAAATTAATGAAGACTTAAATTAAAAACAAAAAAATGTATTTTGAAGTGTCCATAATTTATACTAATCAATAAATAGAACATTTTAATACTTATATTTATAAAAATTTTATTAATTTTTTTGCATCAGCTGTTTACACTTTTGCATTTCGTGCTTAAGATTAAACCACCTCCATTAGGCGCTTAAACTTGCAAACAAAATTAACTAATTGAGTACTCAAAAACATCTTTCGAGGATTAATTTTAATTTAATCGCTAATCTTTCACCTAAAGATTGGCTCTAAAAGGTTATGTATTAAAATTACCTTAAAATTCATGAAAATTTTCAAATTCTTTTGAATTTTTAACTTCGAAGCTGTGAAATGTTATAAGTTGGCATCAAATGAAACAAAAATGCCACTTTTAACGAATCCTTGTAATTTATAGATTATTTTAACAGTTTTAGAATTTTTTCAAAGAAAAATTCCAATTCCCGAAAACCTTTATGAAAACAAAGAAGCCTTATGCCTTCCATGTTTTGGCCTATTTGACCAACAAAAACCGATTTAAATTTAGTTGAAAATGTTAAAACTTAGTATTTTTTAATGTAACTTACGCCCTTTTGGGTTTCAGAAAAAAACAAATTCTCAAGGGCGTAAGTTTCATATCTCCGTAAGTTAAACAAAAACTGCAAATTTTTCTTGAAATAATAGTTTGTCAATAAGAAATAAGCTTAACTTGAGAAAATGTTGAACATTTTTGGTATATTTATCATTTTAGACGGTTTTTGCTTCTACTGAAAAATTTGTTGAATGTAACTTAGGGCTTTTTGGATTTCATATGACGATATATAAAAAACTACCGCTCCGAAAGCAGTTTATAAAATGCTCTTTTTTTAATTATTTTAATTATTTTCATAAAAATGAATACCATTATCTAAAATATGCAATATTATAGCGATTTATTAAAAACACAAAAACAAGGTTGTGAAGAACAATTTTCTGTTTAAGATAATGTAATAAAAAAAGCAAAACTGTTGCCAAAAATACTTATTTTTCTCATCTTAAAAATTATATAATTATACAAAACTTCATCTCTTTTGGTGCGGTAACTTTTTTAGTGAAGGAATAACATGCATATTAAAAAGATCGAAATTTTAGATGGATTTCCATATGGTTAAACTTTTCATTTAAAATTAATTTTGGACTGAATTTTTGCAACGTAAACATGTTAACATAATAATTTCTGTAATGTAGTCTTTGTATCGTCAATACACATTTTGCTGATGCTTCTATAGCACGTTGCTGTCAAACTACAGGTCACAATTTTCAAGATAAAAAATGTTCTGACTTAAGAACTAAACATATTCTAGCTAGTTGAATTTTCTCCATTATTTCATTTAATCCCACAACGTCAATTCCTCCAATTTGAATACTTAAATAAGTTTGTTCGGTCAATAATGTATCTCCCAAACATTACAACAAAAATCATATTCTACTCATAACTGGTTAGAAAATCATATGGCCGGCATTACATACTATATTGTCATTCCTGTTTTCATTTTAAAATCGGTAGACGAAACCAATAATATGCTTAAGAATTTTAAATTTTCTTGATATTTCTTAATCTATATCCAGCAAAAAAAGTGTGGAAAAAGATGTAGAATTTTCATCACAACTAGTAACCCGAAGTGCTTCAAATTCAGGTGAAAAACCTATGAATTTTACATTAGCGTGTCATTGGAAGGATGTTGTTCATTTTTGACAACTTTGAACTACATCTAATCTTATCTTTAGAAGCTGTAAAAATCCGATATATGTCAAAAATAAACCACGCTTATGTAAATTTCATTGGTTTTTCATCAAAATTTGAAGTAATTCGAATATGTTGTTTGTGGTGACTTTTCTACATCTCTTTCCTCATTTTTAACTGTGTTTTCATTTGTAAGGATATGTTTGGTTTATAAAAGCGAAAAGTATGCAATCGCATTTTTAGATGTGATTAAGATGTCGTTTGTAAAGTATGACATAAATTATTTTTTGCTGGGTTGTAGTGACTTTTCTACATCTCTTTTCTCATTTTTAACTGTGTTTTAATTTGTAAGTATATGTTTGGTTTATAAAAGCGAAAAGTATGCAATCGCATTTTTAGATGTGATTAAGATGTCGTTTGTAAAGTATGGCATCAATTATTTTTTGCTGGGACGCTTATGTAAATTTCATTGGTTTTTCATCAAAATTTGATGTACTTCAAATATGTTATTTGTAGTGACTTTTCAACATCTCTTTCCTCACTTTTAACTAGGTTTTTATTTGTAAGGAAATATTTGGTTTATAGAAGCGAAAAATATGCAATCGCATTTTTAGATGTGATTAAGATGTCGTTTGTAAAGTATGACATCAATTATTTTTAGCTGGGTAGTTCCCACATCTAAAAATGCGCTTTTCGCTTTTATAAACCAAACATATACTTACAAATTAAAACACAGTTAAAAATGAGAAAAGAGATGTAGAAAAGTCACTACAAACAACATATTCGAAGTACTTCAAATTTTGATGAAATTTACATAAGCGTTTCATTGAAAGAATGTGGTTTATTTTTGACATACAAATATCGGATTTTTAAAGCTTCTAAAGATAAGATTAGATGTAGTTCAAAGTTGTCAAAAATGAACAACATCCCTCCAATGACACGCTAATGTAAAATGCATAGGTTTTTCACCTGAATTTGAAGCACTTCGGGTTACTAATTGTGATGAAAATTCTACATCTTTTTCCACACTTTTGGGTACCCAGCAAAAAAAGTGAGGAAAAAGAAGTAGAATTTTCACCACAAATAACATACTTGAAGTACTTCCAATTTTGGTGAAAAACCTATGAATTTTACATTAGCGTGTCATTGGAGGGATGTTGTTAATTTTTGACAACTTTGAACTACATCTAATCTTATTCATAGATGCAGTAAAAATCCGATATTTGGATGTCAAAAATAAACCACATTCTTTCAATGACACGCTTATGTAAATTTCATTGGTTTTTCACCAAAATTTGATGTACTTCAAATATGTTATTTGTAGTGACTTTTCAACATCTCTTTCCTCACTTTTAACTCGGTTTTTATTTGTAAGGAAATATTTGGTTTATAGAAGCGAAAAATATGCAATCGCATTTTTAGATGAGATTAAGATGTCGTTTGTAAAGTATGACATCAATTATTTTTTGCTGGGTAGTAACTCGAAGTGCTTCAAATTCAGGTGAAAAACCTATGAATTTTACATTTGCGTGTCATTGGAGGGATGTTGTTCATTTTTGACAACTTTGAACTACATCTAATCTTATTCATAGATGCAGTAAAAACCCGATATTTGTATGTCAAAAATAAACTACATTCTTTCAAGGAACGCTTAAGTAAATTTCATAGGGTTTTCATCAAAATTTGAAGTACTTCGAATATGATGTTTGTAGTGACTTTTCTACATATCTTTCCTTATTTTTAACTGTGTTTTCATTTGTAAGGATATGTTTGGTTTATAAATTCAAAAAATATGCAATGGCATTTTTAGATGTGATTAAGATGTCGTTTGTAAGGTATGACATCAATATATTTTGCTGGGATGTTCTATGTGAAATCAACACACAACAACAAAAAACTGTCAATATTTTGAGTTTTAAAAAATAAATTAAGCAATTTTAAATTTTAATAAATATAAAACACTGAAAAAATATTTGAAGACTTTTATAAATGAAATTTGTAATCTTAAATGTATTAATTAAAAAAAAAATATTATAATAATAAAATTTACTATTACTTCGACCAATATTACACAAAATATTTTGTGCAACTATCTGTGCCTCGTTTCTGTGACTCTCGCATCGAGAAGTTTCTCGCATGAAACAGTGAAATTGAAGAAAAAACACTCTGAATTGAAACAAAATATCATTTCTCACTTGCAAGTGTTTCTGTAAGAAAATTTTGTGAGAACTATCTGTCATTTATGTTTTTTGATGTAAGTTATTGGAAATTTGTGAGTAAAAGTGTTTCTGTAAGAAAATTTTGTTTCTCACATGAACTGTCAAAAAACTCAAATTTTAAAACGGCGCGGAAAGTAAAATTTTAAGTAAAAAAATTTAATTTAACCATGTATTCTATGAAATAATGAAAAAGTAATGTTATATTTTATTTATTTATTAAGATTAAAATAAATATTGTTTAGTAAGTAATTTTTAGAAAAAAGGAGGAATTTCGGATATACAGAAGCAAATGCTAAAAAAGTACGTGGGCGTAAACTTAGAATTTGCCAAGGCGAATTTAGTGGGATAATTTTTCGAACAATTTTCATTTAATTTCTATATTTTTTGTTTATTTATTCTTTGTTTAAAAATTTGTTCGGCAATTTTTGTTTTCTTCTTTTAATTTTTATTTTTTTGACAACAGTTTTATTGGAAATTTCCAATAAATACGTAATTCGTGTACCCTCTTCTTACTTTAAGTTACAGAAACACTTTTTACTCACAAATCGAGAAACGATGGAATTTTTTGTTTCACACTTCTCGATGTGAGAACTTCTCACTAAAAGTTACAGAAACGGGGTACTGGGCGCCTGTTGTGTAGTGAAAATTATTACCCCGTTCACATGATGCAATTATTCGTAATTCACGCTCTCATTCATCATTAAACCCCCAATTACATACTGAATGACATGATTGGCCATACAAAATTTCAGCTGCGAATTACACAAGCTGTACGTAATTCAATTTGAATTACGTACGAATTACGAATGAATGAGTGTCATCTCTAACTTATATCGGGTATTTATCATAATCAGCTGTTTGTTTTCATTGGTTGGAGACAAATGAAAAGTAAAATCAGAAAAAAATCAAATAAATAGAAAATATATATACACAGAAAAAAGTTTCAGCATAAATATTATGAACTGCTTTCATTATTTAAAGTTAATAATATTTAAGAATAAGTTCCTAAATTGTATGAATTTTATAATTTCTATTTTTTCAAACATAATCTAGAAGCCTTGACTTAAAATATTTCAAATTTATTTTTATTTTTCTATTTGTTAAAAAAATGTTTGAAATTTTCGTTGGAAAATTTTGTATTCTGTATGATTTTTAGATTAAAATCGATGAAATGTGCACATATTTGGCGGCATTTTATGAAGAATAGATGCTAAACTATGTTGGATGATGTTTTCTTGTTTAACATTTTGTTTTTCTGCATTTCAATTTATATTTTTTTATTATACAAAATTCGCTAATAAAGGATTACTATCTACTAAATATGGAAACAGATTAATAGATAATGAACTTTTTTGCAATTTTACATGAATTTCGTAGAAAAAAAGTAAAAATTTAAAAAAATTCCGTCATGTACAAGTTCATACATTTTATGAACTTTTAATATTTTGAATGAAAATGGTTTGGGAAAAAAAAAGTCATGTTCGATTCATACAATATATTACAAAATTCATTCATGTTATGCATTCTTTTTTTCTGTGTAACTTAATTTGTTAAAATAATTGTTACATTATTTTTGTATCATAGACACACACTAATATTCCAAAAAAAATTACAAAATAATGAATAAAAAAAACAACATGGCAATGAACTGTCAAAACGAATTACGAATGTGTCGTATAAACGGTTTAATTGGCTATCGTCTTTCAGAGGCCGAATTAAGTAATTCAACTGCTCTTGTGAACTTGGTATAACACTTCTGAAAAAAATCGTACTAAAACGTATTTAGAATTAGGTTTTTTCTTAGAGAGAAACAACAAACTTAATTTAATAAAATTTTATTGTGTATAAATATGTATATAAAATTTATAATGAAAAGGAGTTATTCTTTTTATTTTCAGGAAAAACAAGACTTCATAAGGTTGCATAATCTGTCTGGAATTCAGGATATTTCTGCTGACAAGATGAGCGAATTTTACAAATCGTTTTTAGATAAAAATAAGAAAGTTCATATTTTATATAATATATCATGGTACTTAAAAAATTTTGAAATTTTGGTACTCGCTTTTCAGGTTGCAGTTAAAAATGGTATTAAAAAAATGAGAAAATAAATAAAATTGTTACTTATAACATAGTCGCATTAGAAATGCTAACGGTATAATTCTTAAAAACAAGTAAGAATGTATAGTCGGACATGGCCAACCATATGATACCTTACTCCAATGAGTATGTTATAAATGTGAATTATTTTTAAATAATATAAGTGTTTCGGCGTCAATCCCAGATCGAGTTCAAACCAAATAAAAATACAACGAATTATATTTTCAAAAATTAAATAAAAAAATAATAAATCTTATTTTTATTAATTTACCTTTGTAAATTATCTTTTTAATTAATTTCCAGAACAGGTAGAAGGGCCTGTTCGGAAATGAATCACAGCGTTGTAATAAAACCTCTTTTCACTACTTCTTCATTAGCATTTGAAGTCATTATTTTAACACGGCGATGTCATTGGATTGTCATTCTCTTACAAAACAGTTGTTGAGAAAGTTGTTTTGTTTTTTAATAATAAAAAGAGCCAGCTAGAATACGAACCAGGGACTTCGATTTGTTAGTCAACCGTTCTACTCACTGCACCACTGCTTAGCTATTTTATTAGCTTCAAATAATAGTTTTCACATACAAATTTTATTTTGTTTTCTTTTTTGTAAAACACAATTCTTAACACGCAATTAAATAACATGTGCAAACAAAATGACAAAGCCGAAAATAAAGTACTTCTATATCAGATTATAAGAAAGTCATTACTAGAGTACTGTTAAGTAATGCAGACGATAAGTAGTAGTCATTGAAAAGTAAGTGGTTATGGAAGTACAACCCAATACCGAGTTTTTGCTGGGTACTTTTGGTACTTTAGATTACAGAAATTAAGATGCACAAAAAACGGCAAAACTTGCATCATAAAAATACTGAGTCATTAAATGAGTAGGTAGATATAAATAATTAGATAAAGTGTAGTGATGCATTTCCAAACAGGCCTGGATTTTCGTTTACAAAAAAGCTATTGTTTCTGTGGAGAGGTATAGGGTAAATATATATATATATATATAGATTATCTCAAATATTCGGTAGGTTTGAACGTACCTTTGGTTCAAACTAGCAGTTTTCCTGTGCGAAATTAAAATTCTGGAACAGTGAATATAATTTATTTTTTGATATCATCCTATTACCAATACACCAATATATTCAAATTAGCAATACATTTTTGCGAAATGCTAAACACAGTTCTACTGCACGCAGACAAAGTCACCATTTCAAAATATTTAAAACATTTCTTTTGTAGAGTCTATATTTTATCATTATTTTTAAACGTTAATTCTGGAAAGTGTGTAAATAATCTTCAATAACTGTCAAATGGATAGCACTTAGAGGTGTCAGTAGTTTATATATACATATTCTTGTAAATGGTTCGAAATAATATTCCTTCACTTCGAAAAAGACAATATTTAAAATAACCTTTGAAAATTGAATTTGATTTTAAAATTTTGTTAAATCTGAAATAAGAAGAAATGAATAACCTGAAATGTTGTGAATTAGTTTCACTTTACCTGAAATTGCGCATTTCTGCGCGTTTTAAGTAATTTAATTTTATCTAGGGTGCTACCTTATAAGCATTTTCAAATTTGATTAACGGACTACGCAAAGGATGATGACCTTATCAGACATGTGTTTTTGTCATTCTGTTATCCATGGTGTTTGCAAGGAATTACTGTATTTAAAGGTCCGAATTTTAGTAAGATCTTAGCAACATAATGGGAAAGACACTCATGCAGGAAGTTAGTTCTAAAAAACTTTCAAGTGTCCGCCATGTCCTTCCAAATGAAAAATAAACTGTGTTATATAAGTCATCTAAATTGTAGACAATGGGTTAATAACCACCAAAGGGTTAATTTTCGCTTAAATTTGTTCTAATATACCAATTTATGCATATGCTCCATCTTAGACTTTAAAGAGTTTCATTATTTTGTCGATCTTAATTTCGTACTGAAAAAGTGATAAATTGAACCAATGTACTTTGTCTTAAAAAAGTCATAAAAAGGTACAATTAAATATTGCCCCCCCACTTTACAATATCTCAAGCATATCTCATATCTTAAGAAATCCTACAGTAAACATAATTATTAACGTTAGTAACCGGTAATTTGAAGATGACAAACAAGACCATCGTTTATATATCGTCACCTGAAACGCAAACGGCCCTAACTAACCAAAAATTCAAAATCGATTTTATTGTTGATTATAATGTATTGCATCAAAACAAATGTTCACACAAAAAATTGGACTCTTCCGACCAAAATTAGCCATTTCATTGACAAAAAACAAAAGGCCCTATCTACAAACACATTTAAATATTAAAGGTAAAAAGTCCAATTTATCCACTTTTTTATACGCCATTGTCAACTATCATAACAACTGATAGGTTTCACTATTTAACAATTTGTTTATTTACTGCAAATAAATCGCGTTGATAGAAACAAACTTTTCAATTTCAATAGTTTTTTGCTTCTCCTGTAAAATTTTAAAAATGTTAGATAGGGCCGTTTGCGTTTTAGGTGACGATATGTATGTATGTATGTAGCTGTGGCTACATCACAAATCAAGTGCAGCACGAAGAAGCGTATATGTGCTTTTAGTTTGGTTTGACACAAATTTGTGAAGTGACGTAATTTGAGGGTGTTGTGTTTTAACTTGTTTTATCATCAATATTTAATTCAAATTTCATTTTATTTATTTGTCATTTTTTATTATTATTTCGTTGTTTTATATTAAATAAAAGAAGTTCATACACAACAATTTTGGTGCCAGAAGTGGGATAGCACGATGTCTATTCCACCAAACGTTATAGAGTCCCTTACAGGAATGTTCGCGAACGCAATTCAGAAAGCATTTGCGGATGCGTCTTCTAAAGCATCGACGGCCGCAGTTCAGAAGCATCCAGAATTCACAATGTCGGAATATAACTCATCACAATCAACAAAAATGAAAGATTATTTTACACGATTTGATTGGGCATGCACAATATGCAAGAGTCAATATGGGTACAGAATTAAACTCAGCTTTTCGAGTTTTAGTGAGTCCATTACAACCAGAAGATTTACCATATAAAGGATTAAAAAAGGTTTTAATTAATCATTACGATGCTGCAAAAAATAAGTTTACTGAGCATTAAATTTCGACAAATTTCGCGATCAAAAGACGAAACAATAGCTAGTTTTGCTTTGCGACTCAACCAAGCAGCAGTTAATTGCGAATATGAAACTTTCCTTGATATAATGCTGATTCAGCAGCTTCTGTACGCTTTGGAGTCTCGAGAAATATGTAATGCAATCATTGGAAAGTAACCTGCGACATACGAAATCGCTCAATCTCTTGAAGTCACTCGAAATACGAGTGAAATGACAAACTAGGGTTTTCGCCGCTGAAGTTTAAAAACAAAACACGTCAACTGCCAAAGCAGGCACAAGCTACAGGAGGCCTTTGTAATGGTTTCGGTGGTCAACATTTAAGAAAAAAATTGTAAGTTCAACAGTGCGGAATGCGTGGTCACATCTCTAGAGTCTGAAAATCAAAAACATCACAAGTAAATGAAAATGAGGAATATTACTCCGAAGGTGATGATGTCGGCACACAAAGCCTTAACAAATTGCATAATGATAAATCGATATATATATAACTGTTGAAGTTTCAAATTGATGGACGCCCTATTAACATGAAGTTGGACACAGGAGCACCTTGTGCTATCATAAGTTTAAAAAACTCTTCGAAGTATTAAGAACCAATTTTCATTACAGAAAACAGATAGACAATTCTCTAGTTACAGTCGCCATACAATATCATGCGTTGGGCGGTTACCTGTAAACGTACAGGTTGGTAATACTTCTCGAAATCTAAATCTGTATGTAGTAGAACAAAATTTTGATTCACTTTTCGGAAGAAAGTGGATAGCGCAGTTTGTTCACGAAATTAAATTTTCCAATATGTTTTCCTCGTCTGCATGTACAAGTACTATTAACGCTATAACAGCCGCTACCCCAAATTTAACTCAATTTCAACAGAAAATGCTAAATCAACTATTGGCAAGATATGAAGACGTGTTTGGCTAAGTTGCTGGTTTGTTGTCAGGACCACGAATATCAGTTCACCTTAAAGCTGATGCAGGTCCCATTTTCGCAAAAGCTCGAGAAATATCACTAGCTCTGAGATATGCATATGCTAAAAAAATTGACAAGAAAATTGCTTTGGGCTACTACAAACGAGTCGAATTTTCAGAATGGGCCTCAACCACTCATTTTGTATCGAAGAAAAATTGTAAAATTCGAATTACCGGTAATTACGGGTATCGGGAACGAGTTCCATTTCAGAGGAACACATTCCATTATATATCGATAGAACAGTGAAATACACCCCACGTTGCGACGGTGCTCCAGTAGATCAATAGAGTTGGATACCCTACTGTCACTAATAAGTACCTTCGCCCTCTCTTGTACGCGGTCGAGTAGCTCCAAAATAGACTTCGAAGCTCCGGCCTATACATGAGATGTATTCCATTTTCGGTCGGATATAAGTGGTGTAAATAGTAAGATCAGATGGAGTGAAGTATGTCTTTCAAAAAACCGAGACGCTTGAATGCTTCTTTCGACAGTTGGAAAATGTGTTTAGTCCATCGGACATCGCACTGTATTTTCATGCCCAGAACATCAAGAGTTTCTGATTCCTTAATATTTACACCACACATAAATATAGATGGACCGACATTATCTGCCATACGTTTATGTGTTAAAAAATAACATTGAGTCTTGCGGGCGTTAAAATCGACTCTGTTAACACGACCCCATTCAGAGATTTTTATCAAGTCGTGATTAAGCGATTCATTCATATTGCGCCTCATTGCCCCAATCTCTAGAGGGCTTGGCCTATAATTGAATGAATAGGAATGGCAGATATTGCTGTCATCGGCAGAAGAGTAGATAGAGTTAGAAGTTTGACATAGAAGGTAATTTATGAAGATAAGAAATAGGGTAGGAGAAAGAACGTAGCCTTGCGGTACCCCTGAATTAATCTTGAACTCGTTTGATGATATATTTGAAAAAGATTTTGATGTTTGAAATCAATTTGAATCAATGCTGAACAAACTGGATATGCTCTTAGAAAGAATGAGACAACATGTTTTACGACTAAACCGGTCAAAATGTGTCTTCGCCATCCCTGAAGTCGAATTTTTGGGTCACAAAATTGATTCCAATGGAATTCACAAATCTGATAAACACATTGAGGCCATACGTGATG